TGTGTGTGTGTGAGGCAGCGTGGTGTAATCAGGCTCTCGTCAAAATAATCAAAGTGAAGAAACTTGCATTTTTCCGCAGGTTTGTGAATTTTTACCAAATTTTTGCTTTGTGGCTCAACACCTTTCATGCCCATGAAAGAACTCATTTCTGTATGGATTTTTCTGGAAAAATGTTGATTAAAGGCACAAAAAATTTAAACTTTAAGTTACCACGTACTCTTAAACTAAGGAAATAACTAATCTTTGGCTGCCATTTTTTCCCATTAATTTTACCTCTGAAAACAGGTGATCCCCACCTCTTTCACTTACAAATATCTCGACATGTATTCAAGATAAATGGATCTTTAAAAATCCCAATAAAGACGACTGATCTCTAAATGCCCGAAAATTGACAAGAGCCTGATTCCACCACGCTGCCTCACACACACACACACACACACACACACACACACACACACACATATATATATAAATAGTGTGTGTGTGTGTGTGTGTGTGTGTGTGTGTGTGTGTGTGTGTGCGTGCGTGTGTGTGTGTGTTTCTTAAGGTTCCTGATTTTAACATCATCCCATCAAATTGAATCAAACAGTGCGATAACATTCTGTGTTTGATCGGTCACATTCCGAGATTAAATATAAAACATAAGCTATAAGAACGCTAAGATTTCTATTCAAATCTTTACAAACAAGCAGTCAAATGCAGTCGAACTTGCCCAGAACTGTGAGAATCTTATCACCAGCGAACGTCAGACGTGACAGACTGTCCGATCAGTTGGCCGCAACAAAAATCAGGGTCCCGACTTGGGACTGTTTGCAGCCAGCTGGCGATACCATTCTCGTTTGTGAACCTTTTGAAAACTACGTCTTAACGTAAAAATAATATCAAATTCGGAGCCTGCGTAGATCTATAAAAGTTATTATAATGACTCACGAATGTCTCTTTTTCTTGCTGGATTTGAAGATCACGAAAAAGAGGTATTTTTGTTGAGATTGCATCGGGCATCATTTTCTTATAACTAAGAGGACGGACAACTGTTATTTTAACTGAACGTGTAATAGACCACTTGGACGTAACTTTAAACCTCTAAGATGGGGTAAGAGAAGAGAAGAAAAGAGAAGAGAAGAGAAGAGACTTGATTGACTCACGAGGGAAATTTTGGGAGGTATAAAAGAACATCAACATGTAAAGATTCAGCATCAACATGGAAGAACTTCACTCATGATATTCATTCACAGTGATAAACAATTCACGAACAATGTGTTCGTAGACGTGAACTCTCTCTCTCTCTCTCTCTCTCTCTCTCTCTCTCTCTCTCTCTCTCTCTCTCTCTCTCTCTCTCTCTCTCTCTCTTCTCTCTATCCCCCCTCTCTCTCTCACTTTTCTCTCACATTCTCTCTCTTTCTCAGTATCTCTTTTTGACACACTAATAATGCACACACACTTTTAATACATTGATGGACTCCCCGTCTCTGTGTAGAGCGCAGACCTCGAAGGCTACCTCCGCAAGGCTGGTGTAAAGCTCCCGTTACAACTGCTGTAGGATAAAGCCCGAAAAAGAGAGGGTCAACTGACCAGGTGGGTGACAGAACGCAGATTTTGTTGGATTGACTGCCATCTCCCCCTCTCCCTAACAGGCTGCAGGTAGGCCAGGGGCGAAGGCTGACTTGTTTGACAGGGTAATCAAAGTGAAACGGGACCAGGTATAGATCTATATGGCCTGTAGATATCACA